TCCCCCTCACTCTAAGCCACAACCACTGGCGACGCACTCTTTATTTTCTCTATCAATTATCCTTTAGCTATGTTCCAGTATGTTCCACGCACCCGCCTCTATTCACTGCGTGAGATCGAATTGATGGCTTAGGTTTTAGAGCCCCGTGGGAGTTCTAACATGGCTCGTTAGAGCTCCAACAGAGCTCTACCATAGCATGTTCGAGTATGCTAGAGCTCCCTGGGAACTCTAACATGCTATATTAGGGCTCCCATGTAAGACCTCCCTGGGAGCTCTAAAGTACCGAGATCAAACGGAACTTTAACATAGCATGTTAGAGCTCAGTGGGAGCTCCCTGGGGGCTCTAACATGGTATGTTAGAGCTCCAACGGAGCTCTAACCTAGCATGTTCGAGTCTGTTAGAGGTCCGTGGGAGCTCTAACGTGGCATGTTAGAGCTCCCTGGGAGCTCTAACATCGGATGTTAGAGCTCCAATGGGGCTCTAACGTAGCATGTTATATTATGTTAGAGCCCCCTGGGAGTTAGAGCTACCTGGGAGCTCTATCATGGCTCGTTAGAGCTCCAACAGAGCTCTAACATAGCATGTCCGAGTATGTTAGAGCTCCCTGGGAGCTCTAACATGCTATATTAGAGCTCCCATGTAAGAGCTCCCTGGGAGCTCTAAACTACCGAGATCAAACGGAGTTTTAACATAGCATGTTAGAGCTCAGTGGGAGCTCCCTGGGAGCTCTAACATGGTATGTTAGAGCTCCAACGGAGCTCTAACCTAGCATTTTCGAGTATGTTAGAGGTCCGTGGGAGCTCTAACATGGCATGCTAGAGCTCCCTGGGAGCTCTAACATCGGATGTTAGAGCTCCAATGGGGCTCTAACGTAGCATGTTATATTATGTTAGAGCGCCCTGGGAGTTAAAGCTACCTGGGAGCTCTAACATGGCTTGTTAGAGCTCCAACGGAGCTCGAACATAGCATGTTATACTATGTTAGAGCTCCCAGGGAGCTCTAACATGCTATATTAGAGCTCCCATGTTAGAGCTCCCTGGGAGCTCTGAAATACCGAGCTCCAGCGGAGCTTTAACGTAGCATGTTAGAGCTCAGTGGGAGCTCCCTGGGAGCTCTAACATTGTATGTTAGAGCTCCAACGGAGCTCTAACATAGCATGTTCCAGTACGTTAGAGCTCCCTGGGAGCTCTAACGTGGTATGTTAGAGCTCCAACAAGGCAAACCCAGTCCGCACAGCGTCAAAGCGTATGCGGGCGGCCGCACAGGCGTGCCACTTTTACAATATAAGGCAAACTTCAGGTCACCCGCGCCGAAGGGTATCTGACAGACAGTCACCACCCGACGCGACTGGAAGCACTTCGCCGACTGGGTCAGGCGCTCGAGAACTTGCGGTGTTCAGCAGTGATGCTAGCCGCCAACGACCCCACTCGAAATGTGTGCGAGGGTGCCGCGTACTCGAATTGCATGCGTATCTGTTGCATAGCGGAAGGCAGGGCTCATCCGAGAGGCGCATCTGTGCAGGTCGGCCAAAACTGGCGCTGACAGAAGCAATGCCTAAACCAGAACTGGCGTGCCGCAATCGGCTGTTGCAGTCTGCCAGAAGCGCGCTCGGAGAGGCCCCGCGATTTACTGTGACAGTCTGTGCAAGCTGTCAGCTGCTCCCAGACGCGGGCTGCTCCCACCGAGGCTCACAGAGTTGCATTGCCTCGTCAGGGTTCGTGTAATAAATGGGCGCGACTCTGTCGTACAGCGTTTTTGGGTGCGGGCGACTGTAGTAGTTGCCATGGTACTGCACCTGCACGTCCACGAGGATCCCGAAGATGTGCTCCCTGAAACAATAGCCATTGATGTACTGCCTGATGCCGCCGATCCAGTACTTGTACTCGCGCCTGTGGAAGTCCCACTCTGCCTTAATCACAATGTGCGCGTAGTATTGGTGCATCGGTTGCACCAGGCAGAAGACGATGTCTCCTTTCTCCACGGTGGACGCCTCCTTCACGACGCAGCCAGGGCCCGCTTCCGCTGTTGCAGCTTGGATGGGGTGAAAGGTGCAGAAGTCGTGCGATCGCACCAGAGGCCACATGGAGTTTCCAGGGCTCGGGTACCATACGGGGAAGCCGGCTAGGAGGTACTCATGTATCATTTTGTTCCTCTCTGCCCGCAGCTTTAATTCCAGCATCCAGTCCTCGACCAGCGTCCAGTCCTTGTGGGGCACGGGAATGCCCTCGTGCGGGGACGACAAAACAAAGGGTGGAAGCGCTTCGGCTTGCTCTGCTCGACGACTGCGGCCTCCTCGGGGGGCAACTTGGCGATGGACTTGTAACCTTTGGGCTGCTCCGCCGTCTGACCGACCTTTGCACGTAGTGGGAAGGCTGACGTGGCTCTCGCAGCTATGCGGGCATTCTTCGTCGTCTGTTCCGCCTGCCGCTTAAGAAGTTTCCCGCGCTCGATAGGCTCCTCGCTGTGCTTCATCATGGCGGCAGAAGAAGCCGTCGTCGCCCGTGTGGCTGACCCACGTGGAGCCTGGGATAAGAGCTGGCGCCGCTCCTCAGCCTCCATGTGTTCCTGCCGCGCTCGCTCTGGCTCAGGCTTGCAGTGGTCCGCCTCTTGTCGCAGCTGCTCTCTCGTCATCGGCGGCGGCGGCGGCGGCACGACCCTGCCCGATAAATCGATTGGCCGTGGCGGGCGGGAGGGCATCCGTTTCGGACGAGGCTGGCCCTCCGCGGGCGCGTCACTGACCCTCTTCGCTGGCGCGCGCTTGGCCCGCGGAGTCTTTCGTCTCCAATCATCCTCCTCCTGCCGAAGCGGAGATGTGAGAGGAACACCCATCCCGCGCCGCGCCGTGACAGGAGCATCCCGCGCCGTGCTGCGGGTGCGCTCTCTGCCTCTGCGGGCGCGGTCACCAGCCTCTCGGTCGGGGGGAGTCGCTGTCGGAGATCACAATCGCGCGGTGCGGATCACCCGACTGTTCGGCCTGGGCCCGCGTTCTGTCGGCCTCCGACGGAATCTCCGTCAGCCTGAGCCCGCTCCTCGCCGCCATCGGCGGGCCACTAGCGCCTGCGCCCTCGCGAGCTGTTGCTGCCTCTCGCCGCCCGCTTGATGACGCTGTTGCAGCCAACTGGCGCTGGCGCGGCGACGCCTCTCTCTGGCGACCCTGGGCGTTTGACAGGCGCCGCTGCCCAAGATGCAGACCCCAGTGGTGCCGTGCACATTCTTCGATCCCAGTCGCCCGTGGCGGGTTCCGACGCTCCCAGTCTATCACCTGGGTGTTCCACCTGATCTCCTCATCGCTCAACTGCCTGCGTGCGGTCGCGTCCAGGCATCCGTAGGGTCTCCCCTGGCCCTCGCGGGCTTCCTGGACGGCCGAAGACCACCGTGCCGTCATTGTCCAACTGCTGCTGCTCATGTTGGACCCAGCGCATGCGGCGCTCATGATCCAACGCCGCATCGTGTTCTTCCTCCTGACGCGCCAACGCGATGTTCAACTCGCACCGCCCCCTCTGGCTCCGTAAGCCTTTGCGATGGTTGAGCAAGTACTCCCAGCTGCCGACCTGAAGATGGGAGCTCTACTGACATCCCATGTTAGAGCTCCCTGGGAGCTCTATCATCCTCCAGCATGCCATGTTAGATCCGCATGGGAGCTCTAACATGGTATGTTAGAGCTCCAATGGAGCTCTAACACCCTCTAACATGCCATGTTAGAGCTCCCAGGGAGCTCTCACATGATATGTTAGAGCTCCCTGTGCGCTCTAACATCATGTAGCATGCCATGTTAGAGCTCCAGGTGAGCTCTAACATGGCATGTTAGAGCTCCAATGTAGCTCTAACGTCCTCTAACCTGCCATGTTAGAGCCCCATGGGAGCTCTAACATGGTATGTTAGAGCTCCATGGGGGCTCTTATCAGGCAGGGGTGGGGGGTACTGCAGCTAGCCCAGATTTGGCTGGTCTGACCTGGCGCCCTTTGCCCTTGCCCTTGCGCCCCATCATCTCTGGCATGGCAGCCTGCAGGCGCTGCAAGAGATGCCTTGAGCCGAGGTGCTTGCGCTACAGGAAAGCTGGGTGTGCTCTACTACTGCAGCGGCTGTTGCAGCGGCTGTTGCAGCGGCTGTTGCAGCGCACTGGCGATTCTGTCACTTCTGCATCGCAACCTCAGTCGTCCCAACCAGAGGTGAGGTCGAAACGGGAGACCGTCCTCACGCTCGCCAGTTTCTGGGTTGAGCTCTTCTACTACTGCAGCGGCTGTTGCAGCGGCTGTTGCAGCGGCTGTTGCAGCGACGCCCCTCTCTTTTGCGACTCTGGGCGTTTGACAGGCGCCGCTGCTGCCTCACCCACCGCTGCAGATCCCAGTGGTACCGTACACACTCTTCGATCCCAGTCGCCCGTGGCGGGTTCCGACGCTCCCAGTCTACCGTCTGAGTGTTCCACCTGATCTCCTCATCGCTCAACTGCCTGCGTGCGGTCGCGTCCAGGCATCAGTAGGGTCTCTCCTGGCCCTCCCAGACCCCTGGACGGTCGAAGACCATCATGCCGTCATTGTCCAACTGCTGCTGCTTCTGTTGGACCCAGCGCATACGGCGCTCATGATGATCCAGCGCCTCATCGTGTTCGCCCTCCTGACGCGCCAACGTGATATTCAACTCGCACCGCTCCCTCTGGCTCCGCAAACCTTTGCGATGGTTGAGCAAGTACTCCCAGCTGCCGACCTGCAGATGGGAGCTCTACTAACATCCCATGTTAGAGCTCCCACGCAGCTCCTACTAGCCAAAACTAGCTCTGGCTGTTGCAGCGGCTGTTGCAGCGGCTGTTGCAGCGGCTGTTGCAGCGTACTGGCGATTCTGTCACTTCTTCATCGCAGCCTCAGGCGCCCCCACCACGTACCACGTCTGGGTAGTGGCCACTGCACGCACAAGACAGCGGAGCTGGGCAGCTTCGCAAATGGTGCTGTAGAACATTAAATGTCCTACAGACATAAAGGAAGCTGCATGCGCAGTGCCTGACCGCAAGCCCCTGCTGCGACGCGACCTTGTTGTCAGCACGGGGGAAGTGCGCGATCACATGCTTCTCAACCTCTCCGCATTGTTTGCCGGGGAAGGACGCGACCACTTGCATCTCGTCGTAGCTGAGCTTGTGCCCGCGCATGAAGCTTCGGTCGTTTCCTCGCCACCCCCATCCTCCATTCCATCGCCATGATGAAGGGTCGCTCGCCGTGCCGATGTAGACGGAGCGCCCAGAGGCGATGGCGCGATCGTGGAGGTGCCGCACGCGCTTCATCACTAGACCAACGTCGATGTCGACGAGGGGCTGGTGTACAAGCATCGATTGCATGCCGCGACAATCACGAAGCACCTGTCGAGCGTCCTCCCGGGCGCCTTCCCACATCATTTTAAGCTGCGTCTCCCGGCTGCGCGAGCTCATGCGACGCCTGGCAGGCGCTGTCACTCTTTTGCCGTTGTCGTCGAAACAGCGACCTTCGCGAACTGAAATGCACTGCCGCCATCGACCCCTGCAAAGGCCCTCGGGCTCCAAACTCCAGGGGCCTTGTCGCCACCGTCGCCGCATCCTGCTCGGCCCTCGACAGCGTCGGCAGGCGGTCACCCGCGTGAAAGGTCGAGCCCCAGGCGATCTGTGATGAACGAAAATGTGTCATTGTTCCCATTGCCAATGCCATCGGCGCTGATGGCGTCATTGGCCATGACCTTGACCTCAACGTTCACGCCGCAAGGCCCTCGAGCTGCTCCGCCGTTTCCGACGCTCCCTGGAGGAAGCGACGATGCTGATGCTGGATGCACCTGTGCTGGAGAGGGCGATGCTGTCTGGATCTCGCAGGCCCTGGTCTCTTGAGGCGACGCCGACGGCTCTTGCAAGCCCTTATGTCTGGAGGAAGCGATGCTGTCTGGATCTCGCGCTGCTCTGTGGGTGCCGCCAGCGGCGCCCACGCCCGCTGCAAAACCTCCCTGGTTGGCTTGTTGCGGACTCGCAGCGGCGGCGGCCACGGTCCGAACGCCCACAACAACTCTGGCTTCAACATAGAGCGTCATACCTTCAGTGGCCTCGTCATCCGAGCCGCCGAACATGTCTCGCATAAGGCAGGCAGACACCGACTGCGAGTCCGCGCTGGGAGACCCCTGGGATGAGGTGCTGAAGAAAAAAAGACCCCCCATGGCTCTTGCCCCAGCCATGGGGAACTAGCTTGGGCCAATATGCCAAGATGATGTAAGGATGCGAATCCTGTCGCGGATCTGCTGGGGTGTTCGGGGCTCTGTGGGGTCCTGGGTGTGGTGCCCTAGGGCCCTAGGGCCCTCTCTGGCGGCCTCTTCCCCCTCGCTTGCTGCGTCCAGCTGGTGGCGACCAGGGAGGTACTGGGCACCAGACAGCCGAAGGCTAGAGGCTGGAACAATTCGAACCAGGCAGCCCAAGCATCCAAGCGCCTTGCGCCTAGCGGCCTGGAGGGTGAGACAATCTGCATAATAAGGAATGCAGTTGATCTGAATATGGGCGTCTTTCTCCTCATCTCTGAGCTCCGGGATGCATGGGAGCGCCTGCGTTCGCTGTTCCAGCCATGCGCAGCACATGCGCAGAGTCCTATCGTGGGCCCATTCCCACTCGCGCCAGTAACAGATGCTCTCGCGGGCACCTTAGCTCAGAGCGTGATGCGCTCCACCCCCCATCCTCCCACCTGGACTCCTCCTCCTGCTCCTCCTCCTCCTAGCCTCGTCCTCCTCGTCATCGTCATCCTGGTTCCCCCACGTGGGCCCGCGGGGGCGCCGCTGCCGCCCGCGGCAGCGCCGCCCGCCACCAGGGACCTGGGGGGTGGGGAGGCGCAGGAGCTGCTGCAGCGGAGGCGCAACAGACGGCGAGAGGAAACGAGTCGGAGAAGCTCGCCGTTTTGTTGTCACGCTTCTCTGCATAACTTCAGGTCACCCGCGCCGAAGGGTATCTGACAGACAGTCAGCACCCGACGCGACTGGAAGCACTTCGCCGACTAGGCCAGGCGCTCGAGAACTTGCGGTGTTCAGCCATGCTAGCCGCCCACAACCCCACTCGAAATGTGTGCGGCTGTTGCAGCGGAGCGCTGGCCACGAAGACTCTGCCGATTCCGCACAACCGTCCCCGTCCCAGCCTCTTCCCATTCCCCTCACCACTGCCATCCCCCTGAGTAAGAAGTCAACTGGCAACCTGAGGCCAGCGAGCTGGCCTGAGTAAGTCAACTGGCAACCTGGGGCCAGCGAGCTGGATGCCAGGCAGGGTCCCTGAAAGAGTGGCACGCTCCTAAGATGAGACGCACGAGAGGACAATACCAGACACAATACATGTACTTCGTGTTGATATGATGTGTGCTAATCATATACAAACACACACCTCAGTCGCGCAGCCGGCTCAGCACCAAGGAAAACCGCAAGACATGCCCAGTCCGCACAGCGTCAAAGCGTATGCGGTGGGCCGCACAGGCGTGCCACCGTTACAGTATAATAAGGCAAAGTTCAGGTCACCCGCGCCGAAGGGTATCTGACAGACAGTCACCACCCCACGCGACTGGAAGCACTTCGCCGACCGGGTCAGGCGCTCGAGAACTTGCGAGGTTCAGTCATCATGCTAGCCGCCCACAACCCCACTCGAAATGTGTGCGAGGGTGCCGCGTACTCGAATTGTGTGCGTATCTGTTGCATAGCGGAAGGCAGGGCTCATCCGATAGGCGCATCTGTGCAGGTCGAGCGAGCACTGGCGCTGACAGAAGCAATGCCAAAACCAGAACTGGCGTGTCGCAGTCGACTGTTGCAGTCTACCAGAAGCGCGCTCGGAGAGGCCCCGCGATTTACTGTGACAGTCTGTGCAAGCTGTCAGCTGCTCCCAGACGCGGGCTGGTCCCACCGAGGCTCACACAGTTGCTTTGCCTCGTCAGGGTGCGTGAAATAATACATGGGCGCGACTCTAAAAAAACAATAGCCATTGATGTTCTGCCTCATGGCGCCGATCCAGTACTTGCACTCGCGCCTGTGGAAGTCCCATTCTGCCTTGAGCACAACGCGCGCGTAGTATTGGTGCTGCGGTTGCACCAGGCAGAAGACGACGTCTCCTTTCTGCACGGTGGACGCCTCCTTCACGACGCAGCCAGGGCCCGCTTCCGCTGTTACAGCTTCCGCTGCGATGGCCCCTGGCCTGGAGCACGCAATTGGTCAGGCGGCTCAGGCGTCTTCGGCTTCGTCCTGGGGAGGCCGTAATCCTCAGGGGCTACTCTAAGTCCTGCTGGCCCCTCTTCTTCTCCCGCCGCGGCGCGGTTGCCTGCCAACCCCGATGATCTGCAGATGGCGCACCCGACGGTGATCCTGAAATAGGTGGCGTGACAGGAGCACCAGAGGCCGCTCCAGGCATCAAGAGCGCAGGCTCATCACGCAGCCTGGCAGCCACCAGCGCGCCACCAGGAGCTGTTGCAGACAATGCTTCAGCCGACGCTGCCCGCGCCTGCATCCGCGCCATCGACTCTCGGCAGGCTCTCACCAGCGCCTCCGCCTGCTCGCGCATTTCCTCCTGGGCGAGCTGAGGATCGCGTCCCCCGCCCGCCTGCTGGCGCATGTCCTCGTACTGGTAGGCGTAGTGCTGGATGTCGCCGCAGCCCCAGTCTGATGGCGGGCCCGAGCGACTTGATGTCGCGCCGTCCTCCTCGGCAAACTCGTCCTCCTCCTCATGGGTAGAGCCGTCGTTCTCATCCATCGGGCTCTCCTCATGCGCCTCCTCATGTGGCGCTGGAGGAGCGCGGCTCGGACGAGGTCGGCTCCGAGCGCGGCTCGCCCCAACGCGGCTCGGACGAGGTCCGACGAGCGCGGCTGGAAGAGCGCCCCCCTCGGGCGCCGCGTCGCGGGGCTCCCCGGCGCCGTCGGGCACCATGTCGTTCGGGTTGCCTGAGGGCCCAGCTGTTGCAGCTAACTTGATATGTTACATCTCCCAGGGAGGTGTAACATATCAAGTTAGACGTCGAATTGTACCACAGCTCCTCCAGTTTTGGCTAGTAGGAAGGAGCTGCGTGGGAGCTCTAACAACATGGTATGTCAGAGCTCCCTGGGAGCTCTAACATCCTGTAGCATGCCATGTTAGATCTCCATGGGGGCTCTAACATGGTTTGTTAGAGCTCCAATGGAGCTCTAACACCCTCTAACATGCCATGTTAGGAGCTCCCAGGGAGCTCCAGCATGGCCTGTTAGAGCTCCCTGGGAGCTCTAACATGGCATGTTAGAGCTCCCTGGGAGCTCTAACGTCATGTAGCATGCCATGTTAGAGCTCCGCCAGGTGGGCTCTAGCATGGCATGTTAGAGCTCCAATGTAGCTCTAACATCCTCTAGCCTGCCATGTTAGAGCCCCATGGGAGCTCTAACTAACATGGTATGTTAGAGCTCCATGGGAGCTCTTATCAGACAGGGGGGGGGGGGTGGGGGGGGGGGGTACTACAGCTATCCCAGATTTGGCTGGTCTTGCCTGGCGCCCTTTGCTTGCCCATGCCCCTGTGGCGCCCCATTTCTGGCATGGCAGCCTGCAAGCGCTGCAATAATGCCTTGATCCGATGGGGGGTTGCTTGCGCTAGCCGGAAAGCTGGTTTGCTCTAACTACTTGCAGCGGCTGTTGCGGCGGCGGCTGCAGCGGTTGTTGCAGCAGCTGTTGCAGCGGCTGTTGCAGCGGCTGTTGCAGCGGCCGCTGCAGCGACGCCTCTCTCTTTTGCGACCCCGGGCGTCTGACAGGCGCCGCTGCTGCCTCACCCCCCGCTGCAGACCCCACTCACCCACCGCTGCAGACCCCAGACACAGTCTTCGATCCCAGTCGCCCGTGGCGGGTTCCGACGCTCCCAGTCTATCATCTGAGGGTTCCACCTGATCTCCTCATCGCTCAACTGCCTGCGTGCGGTCGCGTCCAGGCATCCGTAGGGTCTCTCCTGGCCCTCCCAGACTCCTGGACGGTCGAAGATCATCATGCCGTCATTGTCCAACTGCTGCTGCTTATGTTGGACCCAGCGCAGGCGGCGCTCATGATCCAACGCCTCATCGTGTTCGCCTTCCTGGCGCGCCAACGTGATATTCAACTCGCACCGCTCCCTCTGGCTCCGCAAGCCTTTGCGATGGTTGAGCAAGTACTCCCAGCTGCCGACCTGAAGATGGGAGCTCTACTAACAACATCCCATGTCAGAGCTCCCACGCAGCTCCTACTAGCCAAAACTGGAGTAGCTGTAGTACAATTCGACGTCTAACTTGATATGTTACACCTCCCTGGGGTATCCCCAGGGAGGTGCAACATGTCAAGTTAGACGTCGACGTGTACTACAGCTCCTCCAATTTTGGCTAGTAGGAGCTGCGCGGGAGCGCTAACATGGCATGTCAGAGCTCCCTGGGAGCTCTAACATCCTGTAGCATGCCATGTTAGATCTCCATGGGAGCTCTAACATGGTATGTTAGAGCTCCAATGGAGCTCGAACACCCTCTAACATGCCATGTTAGAGCTCCCAGGGAACTCTAACATGGCATGTTAGAGCTCCCTGTGAGCTCTAACATCATGTAGCATGCCATGTTAGAGCTCCAG